CTGAGCTAGCTCGGTTTGCAGCGCCGAACTGCCCTGGAGAAACACATGAAACTACTTTATTCAGTGTTTTTACCTTTAATCACCCGGTCCGTTTGCTTTGGAGATTTGATTGTGATTGGTGGTTTGCTGTGCATGCAGAGCCTGCATGTCACTCACTCAAGTACCCCTGACATGAGAGCCGCGCAAGTTTTCCTTTTGTAGCAAGCAGCAAAATAATTGTAACATGAAGTGTTTGAGTTAATTTGCTTACGTTTAAAAAAAAAAAAAAAAATACATTTTTTAAATTGCACGTCCACGCGATATGCATGGGCGCATATCACGATTATCGTCACGACACGATATATCGTGCAGCCCTAGTGTGTATCATTTCTGACCGTCGAGACGTCATTTGGAGGTATAGAAGAAATTGCCCTCAGGCGATGTGCCTTTAACATACATTAAATAACGAAATGGTTTCTCTGTCGTTATCATTAATGTTGCTTACACCATATCATCCATGTTTTCACCTGGAGGGGAAAACAAACACTGTTTTGCATACAATGTAATATTTGGCAAACATGTTACGACGTCGCACAGCGTACATACCCCAGGGTTCATTCCGGGACTCACTCCATTCTTGCCTCTGGCCCGTCCACGTCCTGCTCTGCCTGACAGACCAGCCCCTCGGGGCCGCCTCCTCCCAGGGAAGCCTGAGCCTCGACCCTGTGGAGGAAAGACAATTCAGAAAATCTGCAGCACGGCACATAAGGAGTACATAGCACAGGAACCAGGACCACTCCCCATCGTACAAACTGAAAGGAGCAGAAGCAGAAATGTGTTTCTCTCTCACAGGCTGATTCATAGTCGGCTCAGTAGAAAACCGAGATTAAAAAAAATCTGAAAAGCTTTGTATATATTCTTGAATATACAACAGGCAGAGCATTATGTTGTTTCGGTCGTATGAGTGTAAGAGGCTGCTGCAAGTCAAATGTGAAAGATAAGTGTTTTGAATGTTTTATATTATAATGGCCTTGAAAAAATACCTTTTCATTTATTTTATTTTTTACATCTGTTATATTTGCACATCAAAACAAAAATAAAACCATCAACATGATTCCTGATTTTTTTTGGAAATAACTCGAGACTACACTCGATTTTCTACTAGACGGCCAGCAAGTGGGAGAGTTGGGAAAAGGCCTCTGAACTGTTGTTCTAGCAATGCGAGATCCACTGTGCCTTTGGCCCAGTTCCAACACGAGGCCTCACGCTAATTATGACTGTCAAACTTAAGTCTGACTGAATCTTCCACCTCCTGCCCCCAAAAGCCCTTCTCAGTTACCCCACATTTGACACTGATCCCAAAAGCAGGCCCCTCCCTTCCACTGCACCCCCCGACACACTCACTGTTCAATGGTGTTTAACCTGGACTGAACCCCTGCTGCAGCGCACAAATTAAATCACAGTAATGCCCCCAACCATGGCAACCAACTAACACAAAGCTTTTACAAATTAAAAATCAGGGAATTCAAAATGTATAAATTAACATTTAAACAGAATTAAGAAAAGATGGAAAAGCAGAGAATGGCTCGAAGAGAGGAAACGGTTACACATTGCTTCAATTTTAGAAATGATAAGTCATATTTAGACTTGGCAACGTCTTATTACACCACACCTTTGATGTCTCAATTCAGCAAAAATGGCAAAAAAAGCAAAAGCTATTTTCAATATAGCGATATGCGTCGGTTTAAATTCATAAATTCATTAGCCTAGTTATTGATCTATGGTCTTATTGTTCCTCTTCTCACTGCACGCTGGTGGTAATGGTTGGTGTAGGCTAGGATATACATCACAGTGACATTCAGGAACACTCGGGGAGAGCGTGTGTCACTCGGGTAAACAGAGGGCTGACGGAGGGCAGCTGCTGCCCTGCCATCTCTGCTGAGCCAGTATTTACCACTCTGATGCTCCAGCTGGGGCTGCCAGAGGACTGCCTGGTCTTTGGGACGTCCCACCCCTCTTGCTGGTCTGGCGACCAGGACAAGGGAGAGCTCACACTGCTATGGGGGCTCCATGCACCCTAAGGTAAGGGGGGGCGGGTGAGAGAGTGAGAGAGAGGAAGAGAGGAGGGCGACAAAATGCAGCAACTTAAAAACAAAGCCAGCGAGGAAACAAAACATACAAAGAAAGATGTTAGAGAGATGTGGGGAGCTTTTAATGTGGCCAATGGGAATTACTCAATAGACATTTATATGCAGGGCTACAGTATTAGAAAGCATCCGATGTGCCAAAACATAAACAGGAGACATTATTAGATTACAAGCCTATTAAAGCCAATCCATAGAGCTTTTCATGCAAATGCATTTAAGAGGCATGTCTCTAAGACTCTTTGTCAAGGCGAATATGGAGAGCACAATTGTGTTAGTTGCATTTCACACAGCATTATTTGCCAGGCTATCACGGCATCATACAGCAGGAGAGAGGCCCTGCATCCTCTCTCCATGACAACAGTGTACGTTTGGCGTGTTGACAAAACAAGAGGGACTGCGTTAGCACAGCAGCACATGAGACAAAAGCACGCTGGACTAAAGAGAAGCAACATTCACATTTTCCCAGGCGTTATGTAATAAATGAGTTTCAGCCATATGTTTATTTAAGAGATGGGATATATCTAGGGGGGAAAACACATTTTGCAAACCAAATTAATCTATCTTAACCAGCATCATTCATAATACATTATAGCCACGGGTGTGATTCTATTCCCATTATAACATGTCTGAGAGAGTCCGCATTCAGTGTCTCTATTATGATCCATTTGTTTTAGCGACAGGGGATTCAATAATTTGTTACAGTCACAATACAATTGATTGTGCAATATGGAGACATCAGAATGGAAATGATCACTGAAACTTGTGATTTCAAATAACGCAGTTTGTAACATGGACATGAGATGAACATGGGTGACGATGAAAAAGCCACTGAGATATGTTGAGGACTCTTAGGGAAGGTGTTTTAGCAAACATCATTCCTAGAAATAATTGAAAATTCCTCCAAGCTTTGCATGAACACTGTGGTTGACTCCACTTCCCCTCAGTCTCCTCCTGTTATGCTTGCATAATGTGCTGCAAGGTATAACTTGACTGAGATTTCTTTTTGTAATAACCATTAGGGCTGCTCAATTAAAATCATATTTTAAAATCGCGATTCCGATATGGCTTGCAACGATTACAAAAACAACGTAATCGAATAAAACGAATATCTTTTTATTATTATTACTTTTTTTTATTTTTATTTTTAGTTTAATTATACTTAAAGTTCAGGGTAATCAACTGTTCACATTTATTTCTCCAATAAATGGATTTTTTCAAAGTCAATGAATAATCGCATTTAATAATCGCAATTGCAATTATTGACCCAAATAATCGAGATTATGATTTTTGCCATAATCGAGCAGCACTAATAACCGTATAAGCTGCTTCCAACCCAGTCCAAGAACACCGTATCCACCACCATAAAGAAGAACATGCAGGCCACTTACAGGCAAGTCATTTCATATAAGACTACACAGTGGTCCTTTGTGACATGATATCAAAGTTCCTACCTGCTTCACCCGTGGCCTCCCAGGAGAAAACTTCCTCTTTGTGATGGCTGGTTTCCCCATTCCAATCTTAGGGGTGAGTGGTATGAGGGTGGTGGTGGTGGGTATTACACAGCTGTGGTCACCCATTGAAGCTACGATCTGGGTATGGGGTAGTTCTCTGGGAGATGTCCCTCGAGCCAGGGGGGACGAGTGGCAAGGAGAGGAAACCATTTCCACCAACCTTTCCACAGATGTCTTGAGTGGTTTGTCCTCTGAAGGCAGGCCGGGAAAGGACAGATTGCTCTCCAGTGTAGTGTACATCTCTTCTGGTGTACTAGAGGCTGAGGGCTCAACAGTCTCTGCCATGTGAAAAACACCCTCCGTCCTCTCCTTGTTAAGTTCTTCTGGAGCAGATTCCAGGAACGAAGCCCTGACTACATCCATACTCGAAGGCTGAAGTAGCGAGACTACCATTGGTTGGTCCGTGAAAGGTACTGATGCAGTACTCGGTTCTTTGGTGGTTGAGATGATGGCCTTAAAATCCTTTGTGCTGGGGTCGGCCATGCCCTCCTCGGAGCAGGCCTCTGTCTTTGCTGGTTTGATTTGTAACGTGGCGCCCTGTGTCTGTAGTGCCTCCATAGAGAGCAGGGCTGGAAAAGACTCCTGGCTGGGAGTCTGTGAAGACGAAGGACTCTCTGAAGATGTAAGTGGGGTCCTCGCTGCTGGTTCTGTCTCTGTTGGATGAGATACACAGCGGTCAGAATATTTGGATTGAAGATAGTAGTTATGCTAATTGTTACAAATGACTTGCATTACTAAAAGAAGTGTTAGTCATTCATGTAAATGACGGGTGACGGTGTTCTGGGCTTTGTCTAATTTTACCTGTAACAATGTTTAGATATGAATGAACAATTATTAGAATGATAAAGCTATATTGTAATAAGGCCAACGGAAATGTTCAAATGGCAGTAAACATAATCGTTAAAGGTGAAATGTGTAATACTTTTATATAAAATATTGTCATTGCCATGTTTTTGAGATGTCTAGGCCCACACATCATATTCTAAAGACTTAAGAGATATCTTTGTTTGACAGATTTCACAGATCCCATCAAATATCCTACCATTCTCATTTGAATGTTTTTTCAATTAAAAGTGGAATAATGATGTATGAAGTATCATTCCCTCTCATTTTGCAAATCATATTGCAGTGGAAATAGCCGCAGTAAAAAAAGCGTTCATACCTTGTTTACATTGCGTTTTAACAGCTGTTTCTCTCACAGTTTATTCTCACCAACTCAATATTTACTACAACAATCACGGCTACATTAATGCGAATCGATATGATATGATATTCCACAAAGCAGACTGGCTGTACAAACCTTGTTTGAATTCTGTTAGGATTTTGTAGACAGACGGTTCAGTAACCTGCTCCTCAACGTCTGCTCCCACTGAGACTTCTAAAAGACAGAAGATTCATTGTCAAAAACATTATACACAAAGAAATTGATATATGTTCATTAATAAAAAGAAAACAGACAAAGTAGTAAGGGAATAAAGAAAGTGGGCCGTAGGGAAATGCAGTTTGAAGGCAAACTAATAAAAGAAAATACCTTTTTCTGCTTTAATTAATTCTATCAACCAGTTATTTCAAGCCTAATGGTGACCCAACAAGAATATACAATGATGTGTATTCCTAAATCGAGGAAACTGTGCTCGCAATTTGGAAAAGAACTAAACCACTAGATTCTTGTTTTACAGATTATTGGTTATTCTGAGCCGATATAAAGAAAAGGGATTTCTATATGGTCCAATGTAAATACAAGGATATTAGTAAATGGCACAGATCAGATTGAATGTTGCATTAGCCTTGAACATGTGACACACAAAGGAATGACTTCGGAGTAACAAGCAGATACACTGTTTATAAAGAACACGGGACAAGCCTTTATATGCTTCATACGCTATTTTAGTGCTATTCTTGTGTCTTCTACCCTCTCTATCCATTTGATTTTGAAGCATTTCCTATCCTCTCCTTCCATTTGGTTTTGTATTAAAGACATCAATGCATTTAACTAGTCTTGTATGAATGGAACTAGTCATTGCTGGCTATCAGGCATCCACACACTGAGCCAATATTCTGCCAGACAGCCCCTGACCGTACAGATAGCCTAGTCTTAACGAAGCACCCACCATTTCAATCCACAAGTTCCCATGTCACACTGATCCTGACACACACATGCACCTGCTAAGCATCTCTGCCAGGAAAGGGAGTAACCATGACAACCAACATCCCAGGGTCTGTGTGCTCTGGGCTCATGACTGTGCAGCTTGCAGGTGCTCATCCGGTGCCGATGCCAGAAAGTCAATTAGGAGATGGGCCTCCAACCATCTCCAGCCTTCAACTATTGACCAAGCTGAACACACATTCTCATTCATATTAACACCCCGCTTCCTATATCTCCTACAGTGAATAAGGTGATGGTTGAGATAAATACACGGCTTTGATTAATGCAGCAGAGGCTTTAAGTCGGGTCTAACTTGCAGTCCCAGAATGGATCTGACAGCATCTGTCACTTGAGTCACGGTAAGCCCGCAGTTAAACCCTCAGTGGTGGCGAAACCTGGCAGGTGATAAACAGCTCTGGTTAAGGACTTTAATTACATCTGCACATAGTTAGCAGAATATCCATGATCAAGCATAACAAAGCCAACAATTAGGTAAACACTAATATCTGAGTACATTTAGCACGGTATGTATACCCTCTTTTATTCAGGGCAGGGTTATTGATTACTTCGCAAAAATAAAAGGAACATTTTATCAGTTTTTCGAATAGGCTTCAAGGCATAATCCAAAATGTTATTTTCCAGCATAGAGAGCATCATGATATTTAAAAGAAAAGCAGGTACAACTTGTCTTGTTTTAAAGTGCTCAACATAAACCTCCTAAAGCTTCTTAAATCCATACACAGATCACTCAACCGGTCTTTAAAACCACCGTGGGGAGAAGCATCTCCTTGCCAGCTAAATCCAATGATGAAGCAGTTCATTGCCAGAGGAAAAGGCTGGTAACAAGAGAGTGCATGCAGCACAGTGCAAAGAAGATGTGTGAGTAGTCATGAATGAGCCAGCTTAGCTCAGAGGCAGGTTTGCAGGCAGGAGATCTAATAACATCTCCATCATGGTGCTCCTAACCATTCTCTGCTGCCAGTGGAGTCTGCCGTCTAGACTGAGAGTGGGCAACGCAGCTACCACTGGCAACCCCAGCTCACCGTTAATTTGTCTGATACTCCACTCCACTGCTGGCAGAACACACAGAGAGGAGATGCAGCTCTGTCCTTTAACAAGCGGGTACCAGAATCATGTCAGTCAGAGTGTTAGTACAGCTTGCACCACAATGAATCACAGATGCTGCGAATTAGCGGTTTTTACTCGGGTAATGGTGCTTATTCTACTAAATGGCATTAAGATAGATTATCTTAAAGAGCAACTTCCAGGTTAAAGACACCTGTGAATAAATGTGTAGGAAAATGATGAAGACACTAGATTTTCAAAAAAATATACAAAAATATACACTACAGTGACATCTGGCGTCGTTTTTGTAAGAAATGTCCACTCGCAAAACGAGGGGATAGGCCCGCCGGGTGACTTTACGCGCGGGGCAACAAGGGTGGGGAGAGCGGCCGGGCTTGCTAAGACGTATTAATAACATGAGACTCCCGCAATGCTCGTTTCGACACAGAAAGAAGGTTGAACATGCATATTTCGAATGCCATATGACGGACACAACCTTTTATATTATGCAGATCCTGGCCTAGGACGTCCAAGAGACAGAGCAGCCAAGGATTAGAAGAATACCGGCATCGGATGAGAAAATTGAGCTGGTGCGCAGGCGCTGTGTGAGGAGAACCCAGTGGGAGAACTGGCGGCAGCTATCTTGGGAGGTGGACCGGGCGTTATGCTAGCAGAATGCTTAGCTAACGTTCAACCATCACAACATTGTAAAGTAGTAGCTATCATGGATATCAGGCTTAACTAAAGTAAATTGATAATTAATGCTAACGTTACTGGCAGGACTGTTGATACTGATCCATAACAGAAACTAATGCCCGCAGTATCTAGCCGCTATCGCTCGCGTTTACCTAATGCAACTCAGCATTACGGGGTCGAGGGGAGACGCGAGATACTGGCTTGATACCTTGACGATCTGGCGGAGAAAGGTTGTGGAGCCTCCGTTGATATGCCGTTGTAAATGGCTTGATGGAAAGCAGGTAGTGTAGTCGGGAGGGTGCACAGCTGATTGCAGCAGGTGAGTGGAGGTTGAGCCGGGAGCCAGGAGTGACAGCCACCACGCACACACAAACAACACAGACAGGGGGAAACAAACAAACACAAAGGAGACAGCTGGAGCAGTACAGCCACCACAGCGTTACCTAATGCAACTCCACACTATGTCTTACGGTACCGTGTACCGGAGGGGAGAGAGAGAGAGCAGCGAAGGGGGGAGAGAGAGAAGTAATACGGTTTCCTGATAAAGCTGTGGAGAGTATGTGCTGCAGGGAGGTGGATGCACAACGCACCCAGGAACGAACGCTAGCTCCGGTCCTTTTTACTGTGGACTCGATGTACTGACAGGCTGGTATTTGTGCAACCTGCACAAACACAATACTTCACCATGATTACAAATGGTGAAATACAATGTAAAACTACCGAAAAATAACAGCTCCTTAAAACACAACCGCTCTACTCAACGCAACTCTACTATACCCGCGGTCAGAGAGCGGAGATGTGTCCCCTGTGTGATGTAATATGACGCGTTTGACGTATGACCTTAAAAAAAAGCCGTTTTTAAGAGCAGAGCTCAAAATTGCTCCTTTCCCTCTGAATTCCTGCCCTTATGTCTCGTAAAACATATCAAATCCTGCATTCACTTTTTTAATTGTAATTTTCAAGCAAGTTTAAGCATAAATGTAGAAAGAATAAAAACCTGCAAGATGCTCTTTAAGTTTGAGTCATGTCCCATGGATCCTGAATTTAAAACAATATGGCTATTTCAAGACAGGTTAGGTTAGGTTCATCCTATTAAGTTACAATCTAAGGGACTGAATGGAAAATATGTTGTTCTTTGATTTTTTGTCAAACACACACCTGTTCCTGGAAAGCATGCACAAAGCGATATGACATCAGACACAGTCAGAGAGCCTTTACAGCGCTCCCTTTATTAAGTAGTATTAACAAGTCTCTAGTTTGAGGTTAATGAAGACAAACTGCAAGTGAAATGTATGTTGTAGTATGAGCAGCCAACCGCTCAACCAAGTGTCCTCATGTAGCACAATGCAGTTTCACTTAGCTATGCATCAAAGTAAAATTATAAAATCAGTAGTGCCCTTAAGTATCAATTCCTCATTGTCAAGCAGCACAGCCCCAGGAGACAGCCGGGAGAAACAAAGTACTTCTGATTTTCAAAACACATTTGCTAAAACAAAGGAGTGGCTTTAATCTGTTGCTTTTCAGACACCATCTGGTTATTGGGGAATCTTCAGAAAGTCCTCCACATAAAAGAGAGCGCTTCTCTCTGGTCTTACTCCAAACAACTCTCAATCCTTTCATCTGAAACAACTGCTACTTTCAAAACGTCATCAGCTCAGCGCTGACACTACACCCAATTTCGTGGTAGCCTGGCCAAAACGTTCAACTGCTCTTGCATGGCTAGAGACTGAATGGATGATCCCTCAACTACAAAGATTAGCTTTACATTTCAATCACCTGGTGCTTGTGTGTAGAATGTTGCATAATCAAAATAGTTGCATTCCTTGGCTTGTCCTTGCCATAACAAGTCATGATTAATATGCTGATAAAACAGACACGATTCTCAAGAGGGGCACTTGGGCATGGATGGAAATAAAGAGAACAAGGAAAGGTCAGAGCAGTTATTTTCCTGTGTTCATTCAAAACTTTTTGGAAACAAAGGCCTACCAGGCTTCTGGGCTGACGTGGCCAGCTTCTCCTCCTGGACGGTAGCCTGATCAGGCTCTGGATCCGAGTGCAATGGAACAGCAAGTAATTCCGGTTTGGGGTCATTGTGCATTTCAGGAGACCGCGCAGTGCCAGGTTCTAGGTCTGTGTGCTTTAGAGCCAGCTGTAGACCAGTCTCAGAGTCTGTGTGCATGGAGGCTGGCTGAGGGCTGAGCTCTGGGCCGGTGTCCATATCCTCTGCCTGTAGCGTCTGCTCTGCAGCAGGACACTTGCAGTTGGAACAAACATAGTCCTCTCTGGGTTGGATGTCTGTTTGGCCTGAGTTCTGACGCTCGCACTCCAGGTGTAGCCATCTGAAAAGGTGTGCAAAGGAATTTATGGGATTGTTCAAAAGGGATCTCTGGGAAATCCTAACATTTGAGATATTACAGTCGTTTTCAGATTGTTAATAAATATAACCACAGAAGATAACATTTTTCTAGGAAACAAAACAATGATAAAAAAACAAAAATATTGCATGCGAAATATTTAAGTTAAAAAGAAAGGTTTCTTACCTTTTACAAGTTTGGCAGAAGAGTAAGTCTTTGTGATGCTCAGGGTCCAGGATGCAGGCACACATTGAACAGCACAGAGCCGGGTCCTGGTTTTGGACGCAGTTCTCACACAGCAGGCTGGTGTGGTGCCACTGCCCGCTGGTTCGTGTTCCACATTGGATGCAGACTCTGCAGTTCTGAGGAGCAAAGGAGGCGCTCTTACCAATATGAAATGTAATGCCTTTCAGACTCAATATGGTGTTTCTGCTATATAGATTTGGCACTTAAGTCATTGGATGGGAAACGAGTATGGAACCTGTCCAGGGCCCAAAGCGAATGAGAGTATATTTAAGACCATGAATCTTTGCCAGCTACATTTATGAGGTAGAGCTCGGAAATTGGACTAAAAGATAATATCAATATTTTTGGGCCCTGGTGAAATGGATTTACAAGGCAGCTTTATAATCAGACGGATCATTTGGACTGACCAGTTTTCAAATGGCTCCCAAAAAAAATAAAACTTTAAAAAACATTGGCAACAAATGAATATGGTTCTGGCAACAGAGCAGCAACAATCAGCCAAGTAGTGTTACAAATGGCCGACACTTGAGATCAAAGTGGGCTGCCAATAATCAAAACACATAAATTCACTTTTTATGTCTTACATATCTTTGGATTATTTGTTTATGAATGGATCAGTATCAGTTATACTGTTCCCATTTCACGTTATTTCCCACAGCAAGCAAATTCCCACTGCTTTAAAAAAAACAAAAAACACTGCAACCGTGAGCACTGAGTGGAACATAGAAATAGATAACAGCCAGCCTTTTTTAGATATCCATACTCACTGCTTTGAATACAAAAATAAGGTTCATTTGGCCACAGATAGGCTACCAACATGTTTGACAAAGCCTTCATTCCACAACTGTCTACACACTTTTTTTTTCACCTACAAAACTTCATAATGCAGTATAAAGAAGGGCATAAATAAAAAGGAAAAACATTTGTTTTATTAAACCTTTCAAACATAAATAATTAGGTTTATACGTTTTTAAGTAGGTAGTAAGATACTCTATATATCATGCATCTACAATCGTTGAATATCATATAACAGAGAGTGGATAGTGCTTGTTAGTTACTCAATTTTAAAGCAACATTTGACTTGTTCCCCTTATTTTTCCACAAGACATTGTCATAACAATTGTTCATGAAATGTGCACCAGCACTACCCTCAGTGTTTTCATGGCAATACCGTGACTTTGCAGCTTAGTAAACTAGGCCTGAGTGCGTTTTGTCTCAAGCACAGCCTGCCATTCTAGTGCTCATATACGATAGTGGAATATGACAGGGAATTCAAACTGAAACAATGACTAATTCTTCATTGATAGGACTCCAGTTAGATGATTGCACTGCATCAAAAGAAACTACCATGCAAGTGGGGACAGGGGTTGGTGGCAGGCGCCCAGAAGAAGCCAGTGCCAAGGATGTGAGTGGGCTGTGTTCCTCCCATGCTGAGTCACATAGAGAAGCCAAGTGTGAAGATCTTTCATCACCTGCTGGCTCTATTGCGGCAGCCTCATCCCACCGCTGCAGAAAAACTGGTTGGTGTTAACCAGCCGTCTGAGTGACACGCACAACATTTACGCTGCTGGAGGACGGGAGGGGCTGCACTGAGGGATGCGTGCGATTAACACACACGCTTTATGTGTGGCCCTGATATTGAAGCCTTTAAAAGATCAGCTGGTGTGAGTCATTTCTTAACCACAGGAAGCGCAAATACAAACCATCGAAGAGTCATATTCTGGTGGGGGGTGGACATTTTTGCTCTGTGCCAGTGCAAAGACTTTTTTTAATGTCCTCAAACGATGGCAATTTTGTGTTGCAGTTTGCAGCAAAGTTTGCACCTTAAACTGTTATATGTTCATACAGCTGTATTCAACCTTATGTTGTAGCCTTTAATAAGTAATCCAGAATCATAAGGAGTCTTTCCTACCTTACATCGCCATCCGTTGGTGGGAAGCGTGTCTATAGCAGGTTGCAGACAGAAGGTATGGTAGCCTTTGTCACACATGTCACACACCAGCATTTTAGTGTCCTCTCCTGGGTTCCTACAACAAAAAGAGAAGGTTGTTTGAAATGGGTCAGCATTGGACTTTGATCAACTGCACATTAAACGGAAAACAAAAACTAGGCAGAATGTAATGTACTGTAGTCCTATACAGTACATGGTCATAGTTGTCATCATAAGGGGATTTTCAGTTGAGCATTTTGTCTTGATTGTTTTCCAAGCCAGGTTACAGTACCTTAGGTGCATTCTTTGAAACCTCATCCTTTGTTTAAACTGATATTTTGGAAAATACCAAGTCAATTTGTTATCATGTTAATGACTGATTGAATGCCATGTCTAATTATGTGCTTTTTCTTCTAAATATTTAGAAAATGGATGAAGAATTTGGGGGATTTCTTGTCAACACTTAAATATTGTACGTTAAATTAAATAAAATACAATAGCCATTTCCAATTAAAAATACAACTTTTAGCCGGACCATATAAAAGATGCTAAACGGATACACATGATGAGGCCTGCAGCAATTTGTAGAAAAGGACATGTGACAAGTTGCTCTGTGTTGCATCCAATGCCAAAGCAATTGCCTCTGGAGAACATTAAGTAACCTTGTTATACATTGAGCTGCTAAGGTTTTATTTATTTTTTATCTCAGTATTATGTTCACCTGTAATATAAAATCATTATATAGCCAACCATGAAATGCTAAAGGTGGAAAATGTAGCTTGTTTACAGAACGAAAACAGGGATGATTTATTGTTGCACACTAGAATTGTAAATGCAATACTGTATTGTCGTAGTTTTTAAAACAAAGTAAGAAATAATTGTATGCAAAAATATTACTCCAGCTGATATACTGTGGCTCGGTGTGTGGGGTGTGTGGGGGGTGCTACATCTCTAATTGTAGGGTTGGTCGTGAGTAAGGCTGAAAATGTAGTTGTTAAAAAAAGAAAAGAAAATGTGAGTGTTAAGAAACACAAAAATGGCATTGGATACATTCCAATGATTTGTACTTCTTTAAATACAGGTCACTATAAGACTATGCTATATACAGCCAATTATCTGTTGGGTTTCCAAACCTAAACCATTCAAACAGACTATTTAAAGCCATTCCATTAATCACAGTTTGTGACAATAAAGTCATCTTAAAAAATACTATGCTGCCTACTGCAGTGGTAACATGGAGTTAGGGTTCTATGTAAATACCAAACAGAAAGCTCAATGGACAATGTTCACCTAAGGCAAACAGGCCGGGTTGCTAGTAGAGCTGTTTAAATAAGGTCAAAAGTTACAAGACTGAGCTTCAGGATACAACATCCAGTTAGCTCCTCACAAACCACAGCGGTAAACAAAGCAGCAGTAAACACCATGCCTGGGAGCTAATGAGAAAATCTGTAAAAAGTAAAGAGACTGAAAATATATAGAGAGGATAAAATCTGTCTGAGACATTTTATTTTGGCAGAAGGGAAGGTCACTCACTTGCATGTCTGGCAGATTTTGCACTCAGGGCATTGCCAACCTGCCTTCCTTAGAGGGGTCACGGCCATGTCCAGGCACATCCCGTGGTAATGCTGACCGCAACTGGTGCAGAAGAGCTGGTCCAGTAGGTCCCCTGGGCTATCACACAGCGCGCAATTTACATCATCTACAACTGTGGGCAGAAAATAGAAAGCAAAGAAATTCAAGACAGGAAAAAAGGGACACCATTTTTCTATTAGACAGTACAGTTGATTTACAATGTGATTTTGTCGACTTCAATTATTTAGCTATAGCTGTATGTATTCAATACAACGATAGCTACGGCTGTAACTACGGTTCTATGAGCACCGGATGACCGCCAGAGGCGGTGTTTTAAGTACTGGCTATGTCCATCGCGCGCATGCGCAGCTCGAGTACCAATAACAACCAAGTCACCTGTGACCCACGTGACACCGGCTATATCAGCCGGTGTCGTCAGAGGATCTGTTCCCAGAATCTTCTCGCGAGCACACAAGAATTCTGAGTGACAGGAAACTCTGGCGGTCATCCGGGACTCATAGAACCGTAGTTACAGCCGTAACTATCGTTCTATTTCGTCCCTACTGACCGCCAGAGGCGGTGCTTTAAGCACTGGATGACTTATACCAACAATGTCATGAAGAATCCAAGCCCTTGCTCACCACTGGAAGCAGCGGAGCTCGGCAAAAGGACCATGCCCAAAGAATGGGGAGTGGCGACATTGACCTGATGACAACTGGAGAATGTGCCAGAAGACGCCCACGACGCCGCGGCGCAGATGGTCTCCAGGGGCACCACCCTCAGGGCAGCCCAAGATGTTGAGATGCTCCTTGTAGAGTGGCATCTCAGCCCGATGGCAGGGGGCGGCCACTGGCCCCGTAAGCCTGTGAGATGGTATTGACAAACCAGTGGGGCAGCCACTGGTTAGAGGGCATAACCTCCTTTAGTGCCGCCAGGGCAAAATCAAGAGTTCCTCCCACTGCCGTATACAGGCAGTAGCCTTGATATACGCCCTTATGGCACCCCCAGGGCACAGCAACTTCGACGTGTCGTACTCCTGAATGTCAAGCGTGACAGCTGGGCAGGCTGATTGAAGTGGGTTTGTGGAAGGACCCCGGGCAGGAATGCCACATTTGCCCGTGGTCCAACGCCTGAGAGTCCCACCTCGGGCATGTATCGTTTATGGATAGGCCCTGCCCCTCCAGCGTGACAGAGAGTGGAGGCAATGCTGCGACACCCTGACTTCCCTGTTCCTGTGCCACTTGGCGTCCAAGTGAAGGCTGTTCAGCCACATCTGCATGGGGCGCAACGACAGTGGGCCTAAGGGCCCAGCGGCCGAGGCAGCCGCCAGTCTGCCCAAGGGCCGGAGGAACTGAATATAAGGCACCATCTTGCCCGGCCCACGTGGAAGTAGGCATCCCTCAAGTCCACGGTTGAGAACCACTCCACCTGTGCATGTGCAGTGGTCAGCATATAGAATGGCAGCACCTTCAGGAATCTGTTGATTCCTCTGAGGTCCAAGATCGGGTCGACAATCCGCCGACTTTCTTGCTCAGCGGAGAAGGTACGCCGAGAGAACCCCCCTGGGGCTAGCAGAGGGCGTCCTACCGGTCTGACTGCGTCCTTGCAACAGAAGGACGGACAACAACTCTTGGGGCGAGCTAGGGGCCCCTGCCGGATCGCTGACGAGACTGTCAATTAGACCCGCAAAAGGCCTGTAGGGCGCGAGCTGCGGCTCGTACCCCTGGGTTAAGGGTGAAAACCACCCAAGGGACCCGGAAGCTACGATGCCGGGGGCCCAGTAAACTGGAGCTGCTGCTGGGAATAACAGCCGACGACCACCCCGGGATTTCAGCGGCCCAGGCCACGGGCCCCTTTGGGCCCCCCCTTGCGGGGCGGCCGGTAAGGCTCTGCGGGCACGAGGCCCGCCTGGAAGGCGGTGCGACGCTGCCGGGCCCAACGAAAGTCATTGGGAGGCGGGTTTGAGTGGGGCCGCCGCCTAAGCCTCTGCGCAGACCACCCCTTGTAATCCGGCGAAAAAACAAGGCAGGGGGTTTCGCCGTCTCCCAGGAGCTGGGGGCAGAGAACAATACCTTCACTGGTTGAGTTAGAGAACGAATGCCAGATGCAGCGTAACCGGGAGCGGTGCGGGAACACAGCCCTTCACCAGCTACTGCCCTAACGGAAAAACAAGGCAGTTCAGCGCCTACCAGAGCAGGGGGGCAAGAGACACTGCCTTCACTGGTTGAGTAGAGACGAATGCCAGATGCAGCGTAACCGGGAGCGGGTGCGGCAAACACAGCTTCACACCGGCTAACCTGCTTAACGGGAGAAACGAGGCAGTTCCACGTCTACCAGGAGCTGGGTCGAGTCACACTGCCTTCTAACTCGTTGAGTTAGTGACGAACGCCAGATGCAGCGTAACGGGAGCGGGTGCGGGAACACAGAACTTCACCGGCTACCTGCTATAACGGAAAAACGAGGCAGTTCAGCATCTACCAGGAGCGGGGGCGAGAACACTTGCCTTCACTGGTTGAGTTTAGAAACGAATTGCAGATGCAGCGTAACCGGAGCGGTGCGGGAAACAGCCTTCAACCAGTACCTGCTGAACGGGAAGAGGTAGAGCGGTGCTGCTACTCGCCGAACAGAAAAAGGGATGTACGCTACATCCGCATAACCGGCAGAGGGAGCGGGAGCGAGAGCACTGCCTTCACCTAGCTGGGTAAATATAAAGAAGCTTAACAGTACACGCACGACTTAGCGAGCGGCTGCTGTTAACGATCAAGCGAGAGATCAAGTCAAATAACACATTGTTCAAGCACAGATAACTAGGCTTCTAAAGAAGAGAACAGCACTGAGCCGTAGTTTACACGCAGTAACCATGGCAGTGCTCACCGGCATATAACCGTTAGTTACGTATAACTATGGCCAGTACTTACACGGCTTAGAACCATAGTTACAGTCGTAACTATGCCAGAACTTACACAGCATAGGAGCCGTAGTTACAGTAGTAACCCATGGCCAGGCTCACACGGCATATAACCGTAGTTACAGTAGTAACTAATGGCCAGTACTTACACGGCTTAGAACCGTAGTTACAGTCGTAACTATGGAGCCAGAATTACACGCATAGAGCCGTATTACGTAGTAACTCTGGCCAGTACTTGCACGGCTTGGAACCGTAGTTACAGTAGTAACTATGGCCAGTACTTACGGCTTAGAACTGTAGTTACAGTAGTAACTATGGCCAGTACTTACACCACCTAGAGCCGTAGTTAGGGTATTGACTATGGCCAGTACTTACGCGGCTTGGAACCGTAGTTACAATAGTAACTGTGACCGGTGCCTAAAAGTGTCAGCCAAACGGCTGCCCACTAGATAATATAATATTGGGAGGATGAAATCCTCTTTAATGGCCACACATGCAGAGCACAATGCACACACAGTGAAGATTGTTCTCTGCATATCGTCCTAGTGCTAGGAGTCTAGTACTAAGAGCAGTAAATATAACGATATAGCGCTACTGCAACCATACCCTGCGTTTACCGGGAGCGAGAGCACTGCCCTCACCGGCTGAGTTAAATAATGAAGCTTAACAGTACGTGCAAGGTGTTAGCCAAGCGGCTGCTGCTAACAATCAAGCAACCAAGTCAGAACACAATGTTAAGACCAGATAATTAGCTTCTATGAAATAGAAAGTACTTACCTTACTCTCCATCTAAACGAAAAACGGGTTTAAAATATGACACTCTGGGCTTTCCATACTAAATTGAATGAGGGACGCAACCATAGCTTGGACTCAAATGCTAATGATAGCTCGGGCACAATGCCAAAAGCAGAACTTTCAAAAGGGCAACTTTATGGGAGAGGAAGCGGGAACACTGTCGTCACCAGAAAGTCTAAGCCAAACAAAAAATAAGACGGCAATCAGGACAACTTGGCTGGGAGAGGGTGCGGGGACACAGCCATCACCAGCAACAAGCTGACACAAACCTGTCTGTCGAGGCTCTGCACAGCGCACAGCCGGCCACAGCTCCTGGAGGACGCGTTAACGACCCGTAGCTCCGACTGTCAGTCGCGAAGCTCCACGCGGCCAGCTGCTTGCAGAGAAATCCCTCAGATCAAACGTTCAAACCTGAACGCTGTTGTTACAAAAATGTAGCCACGGTACTCTCGCGCAGCGAGAAGATGAAAGGAACAGATCCTCTGACGACACCGGCTGATATAGCCGGTGTCACGTGGGTCACAGGTGACTTTGTTGTTATTGGTACTCGAGCTGCGCATGCGCGCGATGGACATATCCAGTGCTTAAAGCACCGCCTCTGGCGGTCAGTAGGGACGAAATAGAACTCTACTTACATTTGTGAATGGCCAGTTCAATGTGTTCTGGGCAGAGTAGCGAGAGACTCCTGATATCCTGAAATGTCCCAGCTGCCCCCGCACAGGGGAAATGGTAGAGTTGAGCACATCCTTCAGCACAGCACTTAACGGATGCTCCAAGGCGCTTACAGTATGCACAGTGCTGCAGAGAAAGAGAAATAATGTCAAAGATTTCAGCAACTCGAATGCACAAATAATTTTTTCCATCAAGGAGACAAAAAACTCTAATACATGTCCGTGACATTTCTTTATGAATGACTGAGCTGAGGAAAACATGTGATTTATCCATTAATGTCTATTTGGAAAATTGGTTTTCTCAGCCTAGAGAATACCCCTGAATTTTGATTGCCCCTCATTCATCCCGTTTCCTCCAAGTCCTTTAAGTGTAAAAGTCACTCTGGAGATCAAGTGTTGGGCTTCAAATGCAGACTGTGCGCTGCTAACACTAGGAGCTAAGCCGCCATGAGGGCTCAGCCCCGGTGAGTGGCATGACCTTTTCCATTTCACAGCTGAGAAATCCACGCTGCCGGGGCCGACCTTTAACAGCCAGTCTGATCCATCAGCTTTGCTGTGCCTCACTGAAGCAGTCCCTCCCTGCTGCCCCAACACATTAAGATGGTGTTAACACCCATTAGTCCAGGGATGTTCTCCCCTAACTTACCTTTGTGCTCCCTGAGTCAATGGCTCTGTCCACATTAAGCAGAGATTGTCCCTCGCCCTCACAAACACCCTCGGACCACAAGGCACAACTCTGATGTGCCCAGCATTGCCCTGAAATGTAAAGACATAAAGGATGTTAAAAATGTTAAGTATAAAAGTATCGATATCTGCAAAGATTCTGGATCAGTGCTTTCAAAGATTCATGAAATAATTCTAATGCTACATTAAAATGCTGAAAATGTTTTGTAAGAAGTACTTTACATGTTTAATGTATTTGCCTTACCTGACTCGAAGAGAGACTGGACGTTAAGATTTTGTGGAAGGCCGACATGAGAAAGTTCATCCCAAAATCGACTGGCTGGGTCTGGTTCCTCCTCGCAGCCTTCAGACCCACTGGAACAAAGGTTTGCAGAGAAAGCAGGTCAGCACAGGTTTTCTTTTTGTTTTGTTTTTTTAAAAAGACGACAGCTAGAAGATATGCTACGCAGGAGAAAGACAGTCTGAGTGTATTTAAGAATGAATAGAGAGGAGAGATGTGCAGTTTTTACAAAAGCTGAGAGATGAAGACAGAGAGAATGAGCTGGGGGAAAATGTTAGAGAGCAAATAAAAAAACTGTGGGGGAGGAGGGTGAGGAGGAGGAGGAGGAGGAGGAGGAGGAAGAGGGCCATCTTGTTTGGCGTGTGCACAAGAGGCTGGCTGTTCTGTCTCATAAAATCTGTTGAAAAGGATGCGTTTCCCCGAGTCCCTGGCTAGAACTAGTGAGCTGCATAGCATGCGGAAAATGTGGAGAGGGAGCATTAGCATTTAAAAGGGACCTCAGTTCCAGTAAACAAACCAACGGCCAAAATCAAGAGACAGGAAGCATGATGGCACATTAATAACAAGCAGCCTTGACAGCTTATCGTTGTGTTTCATCACCTCATTATGGAATGGTCTTCTCCCACCTGCTCACATTTCTATAGACTCGCCCTTTCTCCACCACCTCCTCTCTGACAAATCAATATATAATTTCTCCTACTGCCCTGTGTTCTCTCCTGTGTGGCACAACCGAGGAATGGCCCCAATGACCAATCACACAGCAACAACACAACAGCTTCTGGTTGGCTTGGCATGCGGCCAGACCCCCACTGCTCCCACTGCCCATTACGTCACTGGGAACCCAGAGAGACGCTGGTTCCAAAAGGACCAAAACAAATTAGGCAGCTGTCCAAAAGAGTCCGAAGAGGGTCTTTTGTTGGAACAGTGCGCAAATATGTAGCGCTCAAACACACACTCGGGAAAGGCTCATGTGCACCCTTCACCTGATATGCCATTGATGGGGCCTGGGGACACCGACTGCTAAGTGATAATTTAGCCTTCAAATGTAGAATGAAAACACAACCTGTTAACAGAGAGAGGCTCCTGAGCTTGAGTGTTTTTTGTGCATACTCCTTTGTGTGTATGAGCCATTGTTTGGGTATATATATATATATATATATATATATATATTCATATTTGGTCATTCATTAACCACCACCATTGTTTTGTTTCACTATCATAGTCCTCTGAGTATCAATACTGCTTTCCAGGGAAATGTTAAAAAGGTAATTTCACCCAAAATAAAATAATCAACAATAGAACAAAAATAAATAGATAACCACTAAAGAACAGATATTGGTCACAAAAAAGAATTTACAACATCAGTTATTTCCCCAACCAGTGGCCGGTATGACGTCAAGCCAAGCCTACTTACTTTGTCTTTTCCCTCTGTCCTGAGGTGGTCTCTCCGGCCATTTTTGGCTGAGTGGTTTTTTCACCATCACTGCTTTCGCTCGCCGAGCCTTCTCCACCCTTGTGGCTGAAGAGTGCTTCAAGCTGAGGCGTGGTGTTGAATACTTGCAGATCCCCCTGACCCAGCAGGCTACGGCCACCGCAGTAACAGAAGGCACAGAGACGCTCACTGAAACAAAGAAAATGGGTGGTAAAAGGGGTGTTTAATTATATATACCTACTGTGACTTAATACAGTGCCACGCACGTCATCATCAATTAAGGCCTTCCTCCTCCGGCAATTATTCCGGGCAGGAACACACTTGCCGAAATCACTTACTTGCGAAATCCACAACGGTATTTGGATTTTTTTTCACATACACCTTAACCTTAGGTGTAATTGTTGGTATCAATGTCACAATACCAGAGATGTGTTGCTCTGTACAAATACAAGTACAAATCCAGAATTCTCAATACCATTTGATACCATAGTAAAAAAAAAACAACGTTTAATGCCATGTTCTTAAACGCCTTTATTATTATTATTATTATCATTATTATTATTATGAGCAGACAGTTTTTTTGTTAGAAAGTCAAACACGTCATAACTCCCTCTTTTATATCGGTCTCATCTTGCTGTAAAAACCTTTCCTCCAAAAACTCAATTTATTCAAGTTCTTGCCGAAAACTAAATTATAGAAGACTACATTGAACACATCATGGTAACAATAATTTGTACTGAATAGAGCTTGAATGCACCATATTGCTTCTCTATGGAACTTCAGTGCATGAGATGCTAGCTTTAACGTGAACTAGCTTTCCTACTGCCTACTTAACACGGCTTTGTTTTTCATAAAGTAGCATTCTCAGGGAAATAATGTGCGCCCCATTGACGTCTCAATAGGAATTTGACTGTGTCCAAAACGCATTTCCCATCTCTCCCAGGTCTCTTACAGTACCAGTGTAACTAAAATAGCAGGTGGTGTCACAATTTGAGAATTTTGGCATTGACTTTGTACCGTACCTTGAACCCTCCATAGCTTTGCTTTTAACAATATGTTCACTACATTAAGCAGTTAGTGCTGCATACATTTGAAGAGAAAGAAGTTGAAAAAACAGTACCTTACAAGAATATCTGGACATAAAACTGTAGCAGATTGCATGTAAAAGAGGCATTTTGGAGAAGAAAGGACAAGAAAAAAGAGAATAGCTGCCAAGAGTTGGAAAGTTGAGAAGTAAAACGGGTGGTAAATATGTATCAGATTTTTAGGGGATGCAATGGCCTGGTTAATAAGATCCCAGGAGATGCTGCTGGCCTGCCCTCCATCACTAGCATCGATAGCACAGACAGGCCGGAGATTGATTACAACCTTTAACAGAGTGGCACCTGGGAAGAGCGTGTTGCCTCTACCAGCTGATGACTCCATTTCGATTCATCCATGCATGTGTACACAGCAAGGCAAACAGCATGTCACATTGCTACCCACAAATACACAATTGCATACTAATGCTTGCACATGTACACATTATATAAACATTCATTTGGAAAAAAAGAAAAAAAAGCGTTTCTCACCTGCTTTTGTCTTCTCTACTCGCTGGGACAGATGATCCGGCAGAAGGGTCGGCTGGGGGGCTGTCGGCCCGAGGAGAAGAGGGCTTGTCCTCCTCTGACGCCTCAGTGGCCAACACTTCCATACTTTCTTCTGGCTGAATTGATGTATCTAAAATGTAAAAAAGAAAAAGAAATGAGCGGTTAATAAGTAACAAATACCTAAGGAGTAAATCCCTCCAGAGAATTAATGAGCATTGCTGTCGGGTCGACGTTGGCCTCTATGTTATAGGCTGCTCTTGAATTCATTGCCAATTATGACTGTTAAATCAGCATGCAGCTTCTGACAGGTACAGGCCGCCATAGGGTAAGTTGATTGCATTCTCGTCAGTTTCCTCCAGGTCAGAAACACAGCCCCTATTAGTGAGATGCGGAGGGTAAAATATGGGGACCATATGCTCAAGCACTGATTACAGTAAACCCTCTGGGAACACCAAGCTCTTGTACCGAATAGCAATAACAATGGAGGCTGGGGGAAAACTTTAAAAAATCACATTTGGCAAAATGTCCCAAGAAGTGGGGTTTAATATTAATGGGGAATAATATGGCATGAAATACAACTACACTCATTTTTGTGTAACTATCATGAGGGCGTTTGATCTAAATTACAAAAAGAGGGCTCAATTCGCTGTGCTAATCATACAAAACAACTCCCAAAAGCACGCCTCGCCGAGACTTTGGGCCATGCAGAATTTTCATTAACATTTCATTGAGATGTAATTAGGCTATTACTGCAATGATTCACTGTCATTTAATGGAACATCACAAAGACAAATAACACGTCCTAATAACTGAATGCATGTATAGTAGACTTCCCACAGTCTTTGGATAGAAGTGAGGTCGACTTTGTTTGTCAATATACTACATGTTTTCATGATAGGCATGTTTGTTTATTTGTTACATTTGACATACAACTTTTAAATGCCATTATACAATAAGCAGGAGTTATTCATAACATTATGACACCAGATTTTGAATTCATTGAGCAAAGGTATACATTGCTTGACCTCAGCCGCACATTACTTACCGTAATTTTCGGACTATAAGCCGCGCCTTTTTCCCCATTTTTCGACGCTGCGGCTTATATAACGGTGCGGCTAATCTATGGATTTTTACAGCTAACGGCCACTAGGGGACCTCCTAAATCTATGGATTTTACAGGTTACAGTCCACCACCTTTAACTCTATGGGCTCTATGGCTGGTCCGCGCCCCCCACCTTTAAGCGGCGGGCTCCAGCAGGAAAAGCTGGAGGCCGGAAAAGAGTGAGACAGGTAGCGCGCAAAAGTAAAAGTGGAACCGAGAGTGGTACGAGAGCCAGAACGAGAGCAAGACAGACAGACATTACGAGAGCGAGACAGTTTGTCCCCGTACCACTGGTTGAAAACCACTGCTGTAGATCACTGCCAGTACGTGCGCTGGGAGCGCATCGTTTAAGTTTGAAAGTTGAAAAGTTTGTGTTTCTGAAACGCTATGTGATACAGTACAGTTTACACAGCACAGTACATGTTCTGTAGCTACTATTGCACTAAATGGTAACACTTGAATACGTTATGCAAATATGCAACTTGTTTGTTGAAATGTTAATAAATGGGAGCTTCCTCAAACAGCCATCTCTTTCCCGACAATCCCCTCTGTGCTCGAACCCTTACATATGGTAATTAAACATTAAAACACCTGCGGCTTATAGTCCAGTGCGGCTTATATATGTACACATCATTCAATTTAGCTGCTGCGGCTTATATTCAGGTGCGCCTTATAGTCCGGAAATTACGGTACTCTTTTTGGTGTGAACGCGACATAAGGGGTACTAACGGAACTAAAGGGAAAAGTACTCCGGTGTGAACGCGCCTATTGATATCGTTTTTTAAGGGTTAAGATTTGATAAGGGTTAGAACATTGTGAGTCAATTATTGGTCATAAACCATATTCTAGGTGTTTATTTCTAGTGTTGCTATATGGTGATTTGAAAAGGGTCACAACAGTTTAAGTATGATTAGATAAAACATCAGCATCACATTGCAATAGAGTAGAAACAGAGCCTGTTTGTTGGAAGCACATTGCTCGCAAGTGGACTAATGTCTGTAAAGTAGATCACTATGTGGGGTTAATCTGTCATGAAGGCAGGAAGAATATCACCTGAACTCATATTATCCTCAGGGTTGAAACTGGGTATTTGTTACGATTCTCACCTGAAATGAACTCAAACTACAGAGTGAAGAACGACTGGAGAGTTTAATGAACGCAACCTGAACATGCCTCTCTCTCTCTCTCTCTCACTCTCTCTCTCTCTCTCTCTCTCTCTCTCTCCTTGTCTGTCTTTCTTACCCCCCCCCCCCCCACCAACACCATCAGATTAGAGTGATGTTATGCTCTAGATAATCAGCGAAGGGATTAGTGTCATCTCAGCGACCCCACTAGATTAATCTGCCAACACACACACTCACACATGTGGACACACACACACACACACACACACACACACACACACACACACACACACACACACACACACACACACACACACACACACACACACGCTTTAATGTGTTTTTATGTGCATCTTCATTCGAATGATTATTGGTTGTGTGTTTGAACTTGTGAAACCAGCTTCTGTGTGTGTTTTTGGTTTTGCGGTGTGTGTGTGTTTCTGTGAAAGTTGGCAGGTTACTGTGTCAGTATTGAGTGTGTGATGTAAGCTTCTTTATAATACTGGTTGCATGTGGTTAGATGTAGGGCCGTGTGTGTCCATGTGTGTGTTTTTGTGTCTATAGTTTGTGACGCTGGCATTTATGGTCGTATGTGTGCATTTCGTTTTTTACATTCAGTGTGTGTGCTTGTGCTTTTCTTTTGTATGTGTACATTATTGCATACTTGTAGTTGTGTGAGTGTGCATGTGTGTGTTTGTATTGAATGTGTCTGTTGTTGTGTGCTTGCTTATGTGTTAATGTGTGTATGCCTATGCATGAGTATACATGTATCTTGGTTGTGCATGTTGTGTGTCTTGTGGGAATGAGTTCTATGACTTGTGTGTTGTAGCTTTCATGTGTGTATATGCGGTCTTATAGCATGTGTGTGTGTCTACCTGTGTGCAGTTGCTTTGCAGAGCAGCTGCACCACCCTGAACCCCCCCCCTGTAACTGTCACCTACATAGTAAATGAGAGGCTCAGTGGTTTCGGCTTGTAAGCACATTCTGTTATAAATAAACAATCTGATGAGGCTCTGAAGCCCAGCAGCTTCTTTCCAACGCTTCTACTGCTTTCATTCTGTCATTTAAAAACTTGGTTTGCCAGAGAAAAGATGACAGAATACAGTTTGTACATGTGTTGAACTGCCAGTAAATGTACATTCATCATCCTCAAGCAGCCACTCGGACAATGTAGGGTTTAAAGCTTTAAAAGGGCAGGACGATCACAAATAATCCATATCATAGTTTATAAAACCTCTTAAGCTGTCTGATTTGTATTGTGCATGTATATAAGATATCAAATATATACATATATATATATTCTGTGAAAAAACATCAAACGCTGCAATTCTCTGCCTATGTCCTTACACACGTTCAACACACATATATAAAATATACATATATATATATTTTAAATTGTATCTATAAAGTTTGTATCCCAAAACACCCTCACAAAAGTCATAAACCGGCATGAAACACATACAGTATATAACCTGATGATCTTGGCTCCCTTGCTCTTGTTGTTTTGGTCTAAATGCAGTGAGTCAGCCGTCTGTCTCCCCTCTGTGTGACCTTATTAATGAGTGTTGAGCCACGAGGCTGGACCCCCTCTGAGGAGGTCACATCTGGACACTTTATATAGAAATAAATATCTGTCTCCCTCCCTTTTTCCTTTTTTTCTTCTGCCTGTCTCTCCTATTGGTTCTTCTTCTCATGGAATCACAATTTCTGCTTTTCCTTCATCTCGCGTCTGAAATGCACAATGATATTTTACTCTCCTCACTTTTTCCTATTTTCTTTAATACATATTTCTCTCCTCCTTTCCTTCCCAGCATTTGCTTTTTAGTTTCCTTCCCTCTCCTTAGCATCCTCTCCTCTCCTCCAGGGAGTCCAGACCCTCCTGTCTCCCTCTGCTCCCCAGCAGCCCCTCACCTCAGCTGGGTGTGCTGCCAAGGTCGCCCCCCTGTCCCTCCCCGCTGGGTCTGGCTCTTTGTGCTCAGAATTTTTAAACATAGAGGAGATACAATGAGTTGAGGGATCAAGAGTCGTGGCTGAACCTGTCTCTGCGGTCCTGCCTGACTCTCATCACACTACCTCCCTGATGGCTCCCACAGGATTGTTGACATCCTCGTGGATTCATCTTCTTATTATAGACACATGTATTTCCAAACATTTGGTCGACCTATGTTGTAAAATGTATTATCTTTTTGACTTACACACGGCATCTATTGCACGTCTGTCCGTCCTGGGAGAGGGATCCCTCCTCTGTTGCTCTCCCTGAGGTTTCTCCCATGTTCCCCTTTAAACTGTGGGTTTTCTCTGGAAGTGTTTCCTTGTACGATGTGAGGGTCTAAGGACAGAGGGTGTCGTATTGTCATACTGATATTCTGTAAAAACTGTGAAGACCACTGAGACAAATGTAACATGTGTAGATATTGCGGCTTATATAAAAAACATTGGATTGATTGATTGATTGAATTGAAGCTGTCACACACCACACAGACAGTCACACAAGACGCAACACGCATAGTCACATCTAAAAAAACAGATCCACTCAAGCGACTTCGCGCGCACACATCATCATCTTGTTCTCTCTCACTATATCTCTAGCACTTCACTCTATCGCGACACCATATATACATACTTAACATTCCCGAGAACCCAAACTGACAAACATAATTTGTCTGGACAGTGAACCATATTCACTTTAACAAAAAACCACAACGAGAAAACTTGCAGCAGTACAAAAATGCCTCACACACACAGCACACACACACACACACACCACACATCACCACAGATACAGCACCACGACACACCAGCTCTAGATGTGTCTGCCCCCCCGCCCTTATGTGCGCGCATCCCGCCCCTTGCTCTGATCACACCTGGGCACACGCAATACATGTTTCAGTGTCTTATTCTTGTTATTTTGTAATTGACCGCGAAGTGATAATGCAGTTTAGTCTGTAGTACACCACATCACATACACATATATACAGGTGCGAAAGCCTTGCTGGTAAGTGCCAAGACGTTTAGGGTTAGGTTACGGGCAGGGTCGCAACGCTAGGTGTGGCCACCTGTAACCAGTGGCAAGACTAGGAATAAGTGGCAATAAGTGTGGCAAAATATTTAAATTGTAGTTCTTCGGATCCTGAGAGCGGCGTCTCCCCGTTAGCCTGCAGAAGGAAGGCTATTGCACGCAACGCAGCCCCGGTCTCTTTATCTCGCAGTTGACTTTCTGCCGCTTTCCTCAGTGTGCAGTGGGCTGATCGTTCACCAGCGGAGGAAAGCACTTCCC